AATAAGGTCGGTTTAACCGACGTCGGCTTTATAGTACAAGCGCTTTCTCACTCAGAGAAAACTGTAGTTGAGTGATGTGAATAAAGAATGGACTATTCAACAGAAATGGTGTAAATAAAGAGTAATGGGTGGAAAAATATTCATTTGGTACTAAGCAATTCATTACTTGCTTTGGAAAGCTCGTATGGGTAACAAACACTGCTGACCTTTCTAGGAAACATAGAGTATGGTGGTGGCGCAATTCCTGAATCGTTTACGTTATCCGCATCAGTCAGCAAAGCCGTCGAGTTCAACAATTCTGGTGGATCGTCCACGAGAATGTCGGTGCAAGAAATTCTCTACATCCACCTGTTGTTGTTGATCCTTGCGACTATCTGTTCTCTCGCAGCAATATGAAGACCGAAATGGAATAAATATCAGTTCAATGATGTTGAGATATTTGCTAAGCTGCGGACCGCAGGTGTTTGCGGTGGGGAACGAACGCGCTGCTACCCTTTCCGAGGGCTAACACGTTCACCACCACTCCATGCGGGTTCTTTGTTTCGCCTGTCCTTCAGCTATTTCTATCGATCAGTGCCAGCAGCAGTCGCTCGTCAGAGAGATTGATCTGGAAAGCCCAAATCGGCTATGAACGCAATTAAGTTGTGGGTGTAGTTATAAACACAATTTTAGCTTATTATTTAAATGTTTTTAATGGCAGAGAATATCTTTTATCTTTTTAATGGCAAGAATAAAAAAATATAAAAAAGAATGAATATGTTTGTGGTGGGGAACGAACGCGCTATTACCCCTTTCGGGGGCTGACGCGTTCACCACCATATTATCATGCGGGACCTTCGTGATTTCAGCTACAGCCTCAGCTTAACTGGGTTCAATGCCGATGTGGGCCCCCAGATCAATCCCCTTGACGGGTGATTGCTGACGGCGAAAGATCGATAGAACTAGTTGAGAAACAGGCGAAACGAGGGACCCACATGGTGTTGTGGTGGACGCGTTACTCCTCGGAAATGACAGTAGTGCGTTCGTTCCCCACTGCAGGCGCCTGCAGTCTGGAGTTTTGAAAATATCTCAGCTAATGGTAATCTTCTACAAATAATTTCCGCCAGACAAGTGTTGAGTTTGACTCTATACAACTAGAAATGCAATTCTCCATTCCACATCTTGGAATTCCTTAACAACCTGTGCTACTTATGCTGCGGAGGAGTATTATATTCCTCTACAAAACGCATTCTCTGTATGGCTATGATCATGGTTTTCCTCCAAATGCCTTTCCTGTATAACTTCATTGAGCGATTTAGGTCATGGAAAGACGCAGAAAGCTTTTGCTCAGCACGTGGTGGTCATCTCACCTCGATTCACAGCCAGTTCGATAACGGAATGAAGCAAGATATGTGACGTTCGATTTTTCAGAAGCTAGTTTAGTTCTTTAATATAGCCGTAGAAAATTCTTAGAGCTGTAGAACTAATGGGTTAAAAATTTCTGGAATCAAAATGTACTTCCTATTGCAAATTAGAAAGTTAAACTGTAGCACTCTGTATAACGCATCAATATTTCGTTTGAATACTTCCTTACAGACATGGGGAAACTCTTTAATTATCGTTCTAAAATTTTGCTCTTTAGAAAGTGAGTTAAATGAAGTGATGAACAAATTCCTTCGACGTAGTTATAGTGATTGGTATGAAAAGTGGGAATATCATCGAACTCATTTTAGCTATCGGTGTGAATGGAAGTTGTGAGCAGTACTGGACAGGAGGTCAGTGCAAAAACAACAAATGCACATGGATCGATGGAATTCCATTTGTCTTCACTTCATGGAATCCAAGTGAGACTTGACAGAAAATTTTTCCTTGTTAGGTGATACCGTTTATCGCCAACCTAAAGAGCTGTAGAAGATCGCAAAAACCTTAACATTTCAAACTAAGAATCGACATGCGCTTAACTGATGGACAAGGAAAAAAACTCAAGCAGAATCCGTGGTACGTGATACCAAAAATGAATTTTCTCTTTAAATGATCCGCTATACATTGCCTCGTATTCCTGAGCAATATTACATGACATTGATAGCAGTCGAAAAATATTGCTTACCACTACTCCCTCCAAAGACAATCTGATTCCTTAATAAGAAAGAAAAAAACTATGAGGATCCTTAGTGAATGATATACTTAGCAGGTATTGGAAAAGTGTAAGAGTAAGGATATCAGAAGGAAAAATTCCTCATGAACAGATGACAACACCTATGGAATCGGCACATAAAGAAATCTCAACAGGTAATTCAATGTTTTTCATCAATAAGCAGACACGAGGTTGTTAATATAGAATTTATTAGAACACAATTGCTGACGTTTCGGCGGTTTCGCCTTCTTCAGGTTATCGACCATGTATTACTCTTTGCGGCGGCTATCCACCAACTAACTTAAATACTTACAACAAATAAACGGCTCTGAAGAAGGCGAAACCGCCGAAACGTCAGCAATTGTGTTCTAATAAATTCTATATTAACAACCTCGTGTCTGCTTATTGATGAAAAACATTGAATTATCAATTAATGCCGAGGTTAACAGAAAGTCGGTCATGGGAATTTCTTAACAGGTAGTCCGTTAGGGAAACCAAGTACTGGTGTAAGGAAATAACTTCGGCGCTATCAAAACCGTCAAATCGATTTCCGTTCATTGCAAGATGTTTGTTTAATAGGAACACTTATATTCTCCTCGTACCGCTTTAATCCTTGCTGTTACCTGTCATTCTAATGCTCTAAAGATCCGGTAACCTCAAGTTAAACCAGTTACCACTTTAATCAATATTCTTATTTCAGCCGAACTGATTTCATGGTGATAACCAGGTAGCAAAAGTATTCTTTTCACCAAAATACTGCTGTTTTCAGATCAACCAAATGCAAAGAATTCATGTATTACGTCATCATTTAATAACGGTATGATAACCCTTTTTTCGAGCTGTGGAAAATATGGGACCGAGGTTAAATTCGAAGTATTGAAAACTAGCACTTAAGGTGGGTGGAACACGAACGACTGTAGTAAAAAGGAATGTTTTATATGCGAGATGCCCATGGCGATGACTGATTGCGCTGATTGGTACAATGCAGGATTTACTGAGTAAGTGCAAGGATTTTATTCTCGAACCCGAATGGAGACTGCAGATTCAATTGAGCTTTTGGGTTTATCCTTAGAAGGACTTATAAATGTCAGACCTAAGCCGGAAGAACGTAGCAAAAACCATGTAAAATTTGTAAATGCACTGTTGAGCCAATTTTTTTTCTTTTCTTTGGAAAACACGATTTCCAACGCTCTTGATATAGCGTGGTTATAACATCAGTAATTTTTGGGAGTTTTTGCTTGTAATGCCTTGGTTTTTCGAAAACCACTTGCAATGGGGAACTGTGGGGGCGGGAGTATAACAGAATTGTAGAACAGACTTCGCTTTATTGCTCTAAGGGAATCCATGGTACCTATGCTTCTGTTTAAATGTTTTACTATGTTCCACCGACCACACCGCTGCCAGCATATAGAAATATTTTTAAAATCATGCCCTCCCTTATTCCATACGATAACCATAATTCATTCTGGCGATTCGAAATGAAACAGCATTCGATTGCCAATCAAATTACTGGTCAATGGCTAAAGAAGATTTTTTTGTATATTTCCAATAAATAACAGAGCGCTTCCGAGACGACGCATATCATAACACTTGTGTTTGATAGACTACCGAATTGTTAGCAAAAGTAAGTTCTGTGAACAAACATAAACCACAGGAAAGAAACCATAAATGTCATACCGGGCCACAATCCCCACCACTTATGACTTTCATAGAGGTTATGTCGATGTCTAAACACAAGATCGCATTAACGAGGACCAGAAGCGCCGTTTACTGTTCTATTGTCGCGTGTTAAAAGAAAGAGTTCGTTTCCAGAGTCATCCTTCAAAACGGAAATGCGGCCCAATAAGTGAATTTTATTACCGAAGCATTGCTAAAGCATACCGGACAGAAGTGCACTTATGTGCAGAGAAAACCTTGTATTCTCAGCAATATCAGATGCTATCAATTATAAAAGCAGTGAGTTACAGACCGTAATCAAAGACGCTGCAGCGAAATCATGTGCAACCTGGTTGTGGCCTTGATTCCTGGATGCCCATGTGCGATCTATGTAGAACATAGGTTACACCATAGTGGATTAATCAATTTGCGACCACCCAAGGATTCTAGCGCTTCCATTCGGATGATTGACTATTCATAGTGCTCACTAGAGCAAACTACGGTGATCTATCTGTGACCATTTTTCGCCAGGACAATAAAAAAAAGAGGGAGCATGCCAGGGAGATGCGGTTAAGGCGGCGATCGGTGGTGTCTTGCGATACACCCAATCTTTGACGTGATCCGGCGCTTATGGCTAACCACAAATCCTCTTCTTCATTCTAGTTCCAATCTCCAAATTGTTGGTATTATGCTTATCTAGGAGATAAAAAAGCTGAACTAGTAAATTGGTGGGATCCACTAGTTCATTGTACAGGAGAAATATGCTTTCATTCTTCACTAAGATGCTCAACAAAGTCGAATACATGGCGCATCCTTAAGAAATTGATCAACACCGTAAGATCTGTCCTTCTTTTGGAGGTGCAGATGAATCAAGAATTTCTTGATACCTGAGGAGGACGAAGTAAGAGAGAACCAGAGAGAACAATACGTACTCAAAACAAGAATCTTACGCCAGTATGAAAAGATAGACAATATTCATGCAACAGTATAAAACTACCGTGAGAAATGTGTGATGAGAAGGTAAGGAGTATTCTCTTTGAGCTAGATAACCTTCTCCCTGTTATACAACACCAGAGAATTATGAGAAAGCGAATAGGCAAATGTGCACCTCGTCGACCAATGAGCGAACACAAACCATGGTCTGCAACACTACGATGCAGTTATTTTCCAATTCAGCGACGGAGAGTATACAATCTTCCTCAATAACGCTTCTCACAAGGTCTATTGCGACATGAGCACCGATGGTGGCGGATGGACTGTTTTTCAGAGGTTCCTTTTTTTTCGATCTTATCATCTTTAAGCATACAATGAGGAATAGATTTAATCCAAAGTGGTGATTGGTCCTCATTTTAACAGGATTAACTCCTATTGTAATATCCACATCGATTTAAATTCATTAACAAAGTTAAAATTTTTAAGTTATTTAATCACAGGAGAGTAAATGGGAAGGAATCGTTCTGGAACCGTAGCTGGAACGATTTCAAAAATGGTTTCAGCACAACAAATATGAGCCTCGTAAGTTGTTCTTGATCTGCACAAAAAGAAACCTGATGATAACGAATAGTATAAGCAGAACTCAAATTTTTGGCTGGGCAACGAACTCCTACATCAACTCACAGCCAAGGATCCCAACGTAACTCTGATGGTTGAAATGAATGGAGACAGGACTCCTGGAGCGATTCAACCAAACGCATATTGGTGGAATCAGTATACAATGTTCCAGGCTAGTGCTAAAATTCTTAAACTCTCTTTAAACTTCTTAAAATTCTTAAACTAGTGGTCCAATGAATATAATGAAAGACTAACAGTAGATTAACGACTTTGCTTCATTGGAATGTAAAATTTGTTGGATCCAGATTTAGTATATGGTGCATGAATGTGCTTCTTGTCTATACTAATGTAAAGTAGCATTCAAATCTACCTTATCCGTATCAATCCTGCGTAATTCAAGATAGCCTAGGAGCTATCGAGTGATTTCGGATCAACAGACTCCTGAGATTCTTTAATTGGATGCTTATTAATAAAAGTTCTCAAACGTTGAGCTCCTTGCCAACTTCCTAGAACAGTATTTAATTTGATGGATACAGAGGAAATGGAGTCGTTTTAAGAGTGGATGAGTTCCTGAGCTTTGTGGACCGTCTCAACCAGCACCCAGTTGAACATATTTCTAAAACTGTTCATGCCACCTACAGATTTCCCGAAATCGGCGACAAAATTGTTTTAATGTGTGGTTCAAGTAAAGTTGAAGCATTAATGAACTCGCAACAGTATTCGAGCAATGAGAATTATAAAGGATAAGGAAAGATAAACCGTTCATAGATGATGAACCTATGATGTTTGCGTCATGCATCTGACTCCTCTCATCTTCACTAGATGCCAGACCAATCCAGTGCTTTGCAGTGACCTACTGATTTATCTAACAAGTCAGTGTTTCTACCCTCCTAAATGTGTATGATGAGGGATCTCCAACTACTGTGCGACATCTGTCCCTAATAACAGGCGTACTGTAATTCATGTTGGTGAATTTACTAGGTGTGAACTTCGCGAATATTTCAGAATACCTTTGACAACGTGCCAGAAAGGATAATAAAATTTCACTCTTATAGCTCCAACCACTCCTCAGGAAATGATCGATGCTGAGCACTTTATCTTTCCATCTTTTACAGGTCGGACCAGAATCAGAAAACTACACTCTGAAAAACCTCAACATCGACTGGAAAAGTGTGCACGGAAATGCGTCCGCCGGATGGTACGCCTACTATTTAAAATCTGTTAAGCGATTATTATTTTTGGAACCTCTTAGATGACCCGTATTAAAATGTCATACAGTGCCACAAATGCTTCCACTTACTGTGTTCAAATGCCATCTATAGGATCAATGGATGTGGTTGCACTCTCGTGCTGGTCCAGCTGCGTCTTATGGATCCGAAAGTTTATCGCGAGTGTGAATACATCCAGATGAAATCCGCATGGTCTCTTCAGAAGACATTGCGGACTACCCTGTATATTGTACGCAGCTTTTTCGATGTGGACACAGCATCAGTTCATTTCTTTCTGTTTTCCGTCAAGTAAGTGAACAAGTAGCATGGGTTTAGTACGACAGTCAAGGCCCGGTTAGACCGCTGAAATCTGCTCGGCGCTGCTCATCACGCTCTACCAACTGCATCTAAATCGTTATTCATATTCATTGAACGTTGCACTTATAGGCAAAATGATGTCTCACAGCCGGTGTTCCATTAGTTTGTTCTGCACCACACAAAACGCTCTTTGTGCGCTGAGTTTTCTTCTGACTAATCCGTAGTTCTATGCATTCTTTAGCTGTTTTCAAAAAGCATTGTCTGTGCTCTTGCGATAGTGTCCAGGAATAAGAAAAGGTCAAGGATAAAATAACGGTGGGAGAAGCATCGGCCATAAACACGTATCACATTTTCATACCAATCAAAAGACCTCATACCGTCGTGGAAAGGCTAGAAAGCGAGCGATAATTGAAAGGCTATCACTGCTAAGCAACAAAAAGGACCGTAGTTGGTTAGGAACCACCAGTTGGGTATACCTTACATTTGAAGTCATGTGTTTTGCATCTGGACAACACACGTAGCTATCGTCAGCTCTTAGGAAGTCAATGAAGTCATGCCTTGTGGGTGCGACAAATTCGATATTCTAATTGCATTTCGGACTTGTTTTCCAAGTGGGCTTGCGACAGTAGGTTAGTTGTGTTAGATCGTGAGTTCAAAAACCTCTGCTATTCATTAGTCCTTCTTAATCAATACAGAAATCGGAAAGTTTCACTCGCTAATAAACGGCATTTTTCGATCGAAGAAACAGCGGGGGGAGAAGCCCCTCAAGACCATCTCCACTTCCACTGCGATGATCTTGACCAAAATTGTTTGATTCTTCATTTCTCTTGTGTCGCTCTTCTCCCTCCATTAAAGTCGTCCGTAACAAATTGGCAGGACTTCTCGTTATTAACGAGTTCCTAGAAATCAATCAAATCAAATCAATTCCACATCATCAGATAGCCTTGCTGGCACGTACCAATCTATGATGACAGTTTCATACCGACAAGAAAGTGCAAGAAGAGGAATGCTAAGATTGGTGTATAAAATTTAATGAGACTAGAGGAGGTCTACAACAGAATGGCACGCAACGAACCCAACCCCACTAACATTGAGAAATGGAATTTTCAACTATGTTTTCAAAGACACCACATCGCATTTCAAATAGTCCACACAATCAGAAAGAACATGAGGGTCAAGCCTTGATCCTTTTGTTTGCTTAGGGCTTCAGATGCTTATTTGGTGTTTCAAGAAAGCATCGTTGACACTTAGACGCAGTGACGCCTTCTACCTGAAGATGTAGCACGCTACTTAAGTGTGGTTTCTCCTGGGATTCCATCGAAATCGGTCTGTGGAGCTCTAACGTTTCCGCCATAGGTCGTTCGCATTCAACTCTAGCTGGTTGGTTTGGAAAATAGGCTTCTTTCAGGACGACAATTCTTATGATAGCTCAACCCATTAAGCATGATGAGTTAAGTTAAACTCACAAAATCATCCCTACACACGATGTTTGGATGTGCTATTCTTATTCAAGTACTTCACGATTACGGGAAAACGACCACAACAAAACTAATCGTTTTTCCATTTGGCTAGTTTTCTTATAAAAAACACTTTTATCATTAATAATTCTAAGGTATACGTGAGAAATTAAGACATTAACCATCCAGCAATTTGCAGGTATGATATCACCTCCTCCGTTGGTGCTGCGTTTTCAACAGTGGATAGAATAAACGACCCGGAACCAAAATGTGTTACCCAGTTCAAGATGGGGTTTGTGGCATAAAGCAAAACGCATAAACTATAAAGACTTCAAAAAATCAGGAATTTTAAAGAAAAAGCAGCAACATTCCAGAGGATGGTGGTTACGCTACTGCACATTTGCAACATTAAATGGAGAATACGATATAAGCAAGTACACGAACGGATATGGTAAGTAGTTCATCCGTTCAAGTGTTTAACTTCGGATAAAAAAAGCTTCAATTTATGAGACCTTAATCCGAGTATTTCTACTCATTTAATGTATTCATTTCTAAAACCGGGACAGAGCTGTTGACAATAAATAGTTCCCATGACCGACTTTCTATTAACCTCCGCGCTGATCAAATCATTCTTTATGTTCTTGTTGAGCAAACGCGAGGTGTTCTATTCTTTATCCAAGATTTCGGCGTCTTCATCAGAGCCTGGAACCACAATCCTTTCCAGGTTCTAAGGAAGACGAAATCCGTTGAAACGTCAGCTTGTTCTTGAAAAAAGGATAAAACAATACCTCGCGTTTGTTCAATAAGAATATGAAGAACAATAAACAGTGGTCATACTAGCGGGTGATTGCTGTTGGTAAAAAGATCGATAGAACTAACTGAGAGACAGGTAAAACGAAGGACCCGAATGGTTTGGTGGTGAAGTGCGCTGCTCCCCGGTAAGGACAACAGTGCGTGTTGGTTCCCCAACGCATACACCTACGGTCCGGAGTTTTGAAAATATCTCAGCACTATATAAGGGCCATACTAGCGCTCAAAAGTTGTTCCTCATATATTTTAACAACTACTTTTCTTCATTTTGAAGCGTGTAGGATCTTAAATCATCGATTTTCAGGCATGTTTTGGATCGTCAATGGATTAAACTATATCATCCACCCAAGAAAAACCACAATGAAGCTGAGAACATCCCGTACTCAAATTACATTCTCAAGACGACATTAACTAACCCCATATCAGAAAAAATGGAAAAATTTATCTGTTGTACAAGATTATACAATAGGCGTTAGATCACTTTAAAAAAATCTACGCAGAGCATCAAATTTACAGAAAACAAGTAGAATTGAACGAAAGGGGTAACGAACTGCTGCGAGATCCTCATCGAGTGAATTATATAGTGAATACCCACGATTCCCTCGAAAGCAGTGAATGCGGTGGTGACATTGCACTGCACGAAGAATAAAATGAGACCTACCCATTACGAGTAGTATAGAAGTACATTTTATCGAACGTAGTTTCGAAAATATTGTGGATTCACGGCAATACGCTACGTCGGCGCGCTTAATGAACCAGTGAGTAGGTTTAGTACCCGAATAAATGTAAAATGCAACATTTACTTGCAAAAATAAAGCATGTTGTCTAGAACGTTAGAGTGGACAAAAGGTAAGCACTTATAAGCAGACGAATATACGATGATCTAGGAAGTTGAATCCGATAAACCAAATGAAATGGAAAATAGTGCTCTGTCTGAAAGTACGACAATAGCTTTTCTTGATTTACTTGTCGTTGGAATGGCCCTTATAGCTGCCACTGTTGATCTCGACGGGAAACTCACCATCACCTAGACAGAATCTTTCCAATTTCATCTTTTCTGCTGCTGTCTGGTACCAAATTAAATAAGTTGCACGAAAACAAATACTAATTCAAAACACACATCAGCTCTTCTTTCTGACCAGTCATGAGCGTCAAAGCGCCTCTTGTCTTCATTGTAGACAACCGAAAATAAATTATTTTCAAGAGAGAATAGACTGTTAGACCACATCGTTGATGCCAATTGGCAGTCAGTAAGCCATTCCGAAAGTTCGATGCAGAGAACCTGCAACGAAGACCGCTTCAGGTGTTAAGTGCAAGCAGACAATTTTAATAGAACGAGTATGTACGTGTCGACCTCGTCGTTGTCATCGTCAATAGCGAGTCGATAGAGTCGATGAGAAATGGCAGGATGACGACCACCTGGCGAGAATGAAACGACAAAGTGTAGGGACGTCTCAAGAAAGCTTATAGACCTCATCTTGTCAAACTGATCTGTAACAAAAATAAGTAATTTGTGCACCTGAACAACTAACATATAAATGCAGAGACAAACAAAAACCTTGAACATTGCTAAGGAGAGGAAATACTTTGTCATTTCTGAATGCCATAAGCTTCTTGAACGATGCTACAAGAAGTGTAGAAGAACCGGTATCGAAGCTAGAAAGAAATACCGATATGGAGACATCTTACAGCTTGCTGCTGATATGAGACAAAAAGTAATATATACCCAGTAAAAATTATAGGAAGATGGCCAATTCCTTGAGTATAATCGCGCAATGGTTCGGTAGAATCCGAATCAACAGCATACTCAAAAACACGACCATCGCCGAGGCCAAGAGCAACCTGTAAGTGCCAGTTTTCCAGAAAACTGTGCGCGTTTGCAAAAAAATGAACCGTTTGCATCATCAAACTACGTATGAATATATAATCGGATGCGGTCCCAATTCCACATTCACAGTACATCTACGTAACAAATTAGCTTTTCCGAGAACTGCAGCTTAAGTGTTTATGAGACCAGTAATTTCTGCCTCCTCTTCGAATTGGCTACCAATCCTACAATTCCTGTTAGCGGAAGACCTTATTGTTATACGCTTGACTGATGAAGCCTGAGTGCAATAAATTTTCATAGTACTAACACTAAGCCCTTGCGCTAAATCGCACAATAGAGCACCTGCGAAATAAACCACCATTCCGAAACACAAGATAAACAAGTTACGTCTCAACGAAGTGTATATATATACATATATATATATGTATATATATATATATATATATATATATATATTTGGGCGTTTGTGGCACATTAGTCGAAGGCGCCCTGCAACACACACGTGGAATCCATCCCCGCTCCAGTGGTCCACCAAGCCTTCCATCCCTCCGGGGTCGACAGATTGGTACCAGACTTGCCTGGGAGGATAGCAGCACTGGCTTGATATATCGGTAAGCCACCGCGAGTCATTGTGAAGGCCAGATGTGTAATCAATCACCTCCAAACGAAGCCTAATGAAGTCGAATGCATGATGCAACCCTCAAGGATTGATCAACGCCGAGCTTTATTCTTTGCCTTACATGTACATATATATATACACATGATAAAAGAAAAACTAGCATTACTCTATTGTGTGCTGTCCAACAACCAGTCCAGATTGGTTTCTCATTTGGCATTTTCCACTGGCGAATTATCGCACCGTTCATTGACACAACCGCCCTTTTGTCTTCGCCTCCTAAAACGTCAATGCTTTTATGTGCCGCAAATCAAATACATATAGTTGAATTCCTTACAAATGCACACTTTCTAGCTGATTTATGTTAAAAATAAAAAGTCGATCTGCTACTTAGCTTAGACCGTTCCTCGCAACCATATTTTATTCGTCACGCACATTTGAAAGAAAACAAAAGAAATTTTTTTTCTTACTGTATGAAGAAATCAGTTCGAAAATTTTGAAAACCATCAGTGGCATTAGTTCCATACTTCTTCCTTTGTCAAAAGACAAATATAACATTTAGGCTTCTATTTCTCACCGCACGAGCTGTAAGACGCAAGTCATGCCGACCACGACGTGCTCGCCACTATATTTTCGTGATTCTAGCGCGACAATTTGGTTTTGAGGAGCGGATAACACAGTCGTGATGATGCCGATCATCACGAGCACGACGCCAGTTCGATCCCACCCCGGGGGTTCACCAAGCCTCTTATCCCTCCGGGTCGGGAAATGGGTACCAAACTTGTCCGAGAAAAAACCGCTCTCTACAATCCAACTGGGAATGCTCTAGGCCGGCTGTCTCGGGGTTTCAGTGAGAATCGAAACGACTAGTATTCTACGACATTCAAGACGAAACGAAAATCCTCATGGAACAGTGCAAGCCACACGTAAAGTTGGAAGATCTTCCTGGACAATGGAAGCGAAGCAACGAATCGAAGATGGGAAGTGCTGGGAGCCGCACAGTAGATGTGAAGACACGTTGTATAAAATAAAAATAAATAAGGAATTTAAGTTTCCAACACATTTTGCAAGCTATTTTCGCCAATTTCCTCCATCATTCTCTACGTGTTTCTACGGGGTAAATGATGCATTAGAAACATTTCCAATGGCTGCGATAAAAAAAACCTTGTTCACTTTCTACGACAGTTCAGCCTTGGGTAATGATTTTCACAACTAATGTTGAACATGCTGTAACACCATATATTTTCTGTACCTCCTATTCCATGCGATAACTGCGACCTAAAATGCAAGGATAACGAATAATTCCAAACGTCTTCAGCAGGAAATTTTCTAAAGTAACCTCAAAACTGGCACTATCACTGATCTCCCTCATATGAGGGATCTCGAGCCGGTTAGTCGCGAGGCTACGTGGCGCGTCCCCAGGTGGTGGATAGGGGGCTAATCGCGGACCAAAAGCGACCCTTGCTTCACTGAGACTCAGGTGGATCCAGCGGATAGACTCTCTGTTTCTGCTGCACTGATTTGGCACATACTTTTTGTATTTGCTAGACGTATCCATGCATGCGTGTGTGGGTGCGCTCTCGCTTATGCGGATTGTATTCTACAAGTCAACTCGGCCAAAGGCCTGCAATCAAGCAACTGGAAAGTATATGGCAGGCGGTTAGTAGTCGCCTCTAAGAAATAAGCTCCATGCTCTCTCTGCGAAAGCCTGGAAACCTACCCATGAGTATACCCAGGCCCCACGTTCAGAGCCTATCAAGCTATAAGTGGGTATCAAAAATAGTAAACACAGTGAAAAAAGTGGGTCTCATTTCCTTGACCCCGAAGGAGCCCCAATTTCGCAGCGTTGGACAAGTACGGAGATTATGCTAAAATCTCACGGCCAATGGAAGCTGCCTGGATTTCAAAGAACTATGGTGACGATCTCTACTTACAATGCACATACACTTGCATCGGAGTCCTCGATAGAAAAAATGCTCATGCAAGCAAGAAGGATAAGGAACGACGTCATCGGCCTGGCCAAGACGAGAAGATGATAGCCTTTCAATGCCGTCTATGATACCAGAGAAAAACTGTTCCTCGGAACGTGCGACAGTAGATAAGTCGGTGGCGTCGGTGTTCTCGTCAACACGAGTTTGTATATGAACATCGATTCATTCGAACAGCTTAAAACCCGAAACGGACGTTTACGATTAAAAAGGTGTGGATCAATG